GCACGTCCATGCTCCTCTCCGTCGCTGCAGCTCTTGATGGCGTCGCTGCTGATCGCGCAGAGAGCGCGTCCGTCAGAGGACCCTTTGCTGAGGTCGGTTTGCCGCTATCGTTAGGCGAGTAGGAGAGGATAGAATCCCCCCAGTCACCATCTCCAAGTAAGAGGCTCACCATGTCCCGGATGTGCTGCTCGATGTCTCGCATGCTCTCAGGCCAAGCCTCGATGTTACTCAAGTCGCTGATGTCTGAGATCTCGCAGTCATCGAGGTAGGGTTTCACCGGCAGCTCGGTACGATACGTGAGAAGAAATGAGGCGTCGTCCCAACTGTCCTTGGAGTAGTCGCCGATGTTGATCCCCTTATCTGGCCGCACCCCACGAGCCAAGTAGCGCGCATGATCCGAACGAGACCATGTCACGAGCAGCCCGCGATGCATTTGATCGAGAGCTGGTACTCGTCTGACCGAAGTGCCATATACTATGCCACCAATACTCTTGAGATGGAAAACCCGCTGATAGATCTTCAGACAAAGCGCCCAGTGCATGACAAATCGCAGCTGAGGAGCTGGTGGGGAACAGGTCATAGCACTGCCGTCGAAGATCTTGCCGATCCTCGTAAACTGGCCGCAGGCCGCATTGTCAATCAGGCCCATGAGCCTGACCAAATCTGAGACCTAGACCTCCTCTGCCCCCTTAAGTAAGTAAACGAAGTGATTTTCACCGTCGGTCTTGATCCTCGATGTTTATAGTACGTCGCCGAATGTCGCGCGGGTAAGATGCAAGGAGTTCCGTTCCACTCCACCATGCCAGTCCCCTGAGAAAGCTTGACCAGTTCGGCTGGACCTCGCCATCCAGACTGATCTTTCCGTTCAGGCACTCGGTAAATATCAACTGGTTCGCCTGGTTGGAGTCGCTGTCCTGGAGGAGTCTCGTGTTGTCGTGTCCGATTGCGTCGAGCGATACGTTCCTCCACCAGACTCCTTGCCATGGCAATCTTGGCCTGCGCCCTGAGACGCAGCGCCGACTCGAACGGACCTGGGCAGCCGTCGCCCGCGGGGGTGACTAAGTCGAGCGCGGCGGCCTCCACGTCGTAGCAGCCCCTCGGAGCGAGCCCAGCACTACTTGACGCGCCGTCTGCCCCCCGTAGGAGACGAGAGAGTTGGAGACCATGGCCGCTTCCTGAACAATATCTGCACTCGTCACCTGCAGGCCCTGGGACTGGCAACTCTTCTTGAGCTTGAGCGAACACAACCGAACCAAAGAGATCCAGCGTTCGACCAAGCCCGCCACGGTGATCGCCGGCGCCCGCGCACTGTCGCACGATATGAAACTTGTCGCACATCCGCGAGGCCAACTCCGACATCACACCGCCTTCTTGGTCCCAAATCAGTCGTGACGGAGGGCCGAAACATCTGATCCACGATCGAAGCACCGTTGACAGTATCTCTTGAGCTGCGTGGTCCTTGAGAAAGTCAGCCACCTTGTACTTGCTGAACTCGTCGGTGACCAAAGTGAAACACTCATCCCATTGAAAGAAAAGATCCATCTGGATCCGGTGGTTGAAGCAGACCGCCATCGCGATGCCAACTTGTGGTTTCGTAGCCAGTGGCAGGTAGCCCCTGCAGTCCTTGCACGCCTTCGGGATGAGAGCAAGAAGTCGCGCCATCCATGGACTCCAGCACTCACCCTGTCTAAGCAAGATGGCCACGCCAGGTGCCGAGGCACGCGAGAAACGCACATGAAGGCCGGGAAGACACCGAAAACAGTATTTCTTGTCCTTCTTGTCGGCAACCGCCTTCAGTCGATCCAATGGCTTGGACAGGTTGAAACTTGGCCTCGCCACGTACCATTCCTTCTTGGCTATCTTGGGTTCTTCCGGCGCAACTGGCAACTTCTCGTCTACCGCCGGCCCGTCAGGGGCTGCCACCGCCGGAGTCTTGCCCGCATCGCCCTCCAGGTCGGGTTCCAGAGGCACGCGTTGCAATGGCTGAACCACCAGCTCATCCGGATCTTGAGCGTCGACAGGCGCGTCTGCGGCCTAAGGTGGTTCATCTGCCGCTGGCGCAGGTTCTGGAGGCGCGTCGCCCACGGAGCCCACGGCCTGAGCAGGAGGAGCCGGTGCTAGCGCAGGGGGAGGTAGAGGAACCTTAGTGCCTGACATTCTGCACTGCCCTGGCACGCGAGAGCGGGGCAACTCCGTCTTGGTTCCACGCTTGCACTGAGGGCAACTCCAAAAAACAAAGCTGAGGTCGCTGTCGGCATTCCGAACGCAATTGGAGGCCATGCTGCCTACAACTTCCACGGCGTCCTTGCCGATAGCGTCGCACAACAGCTTGGGATATACCGCCGCACGAGCTGTCTCGCGGACTCCGCCACTGCATCCAACCAACTGTCCATGAGGAACCTTACATCTGCAATGGCTGGCCACACTCCTGACGCCGAAGGTGCTCAAGTACTTTCTCTTGCGAATGGGCTCGCCGTCTTCGTTGACTGCGCCGGATGGACAATGATCACCAACATGCTGTCTTAGGCCGATACCAGGAAGTAAGATGAGGTCCGACTTGTCCCAGATCTCGCTGGCGTTAAGATTCTCAACCACCGCATGCTCATAACGTCGTTGTCCAGCTTGAATGTCTGAGACGCGCCACGTAAGAGTAGGATGCTGAGCTTCACGTTCGGCCTCGCGCTTCCCATCATCACCTCGGGAAGCCTGTGACCACGGCGCACAGGTGGGAGCCCACCAGGTCACTGCAATCCCTGGCGCCCCCCTGACCGCCGCGAGGATATTCTGGTGCTCTGGATCGGCCAAGTTCCAGCCATATCGGTAGTCGACTGGACACGCTATATGTTGACCAAGCTTCGAGCATCTCGATGATGGACACCCACTTTCAGCAATTCGTTCCTGAAGATGCATCTTGAAATCCTGCATGCGCTCTGTCCACTGCATGGCATTGATGGGTGTGACGATGGGCAGTTGACTCCGATGATAAAATTATTCGGGGAGAGCCGGATACTTCTTTTCCAATGGTCAAACCTCGTCACCATCATCATCGAGAGGCCACAGATTCTGCCCCGTCCATCTTGGGCCGCGCTCGAAAGAGGCCCAGCGCCGATAGAAAGCTTGGCATCTCTTTGTTGGCGAAAATCGCATAGGCGCAGGTGCGCGCGTCTGCTGCTGCTGCCGCTGCTGACCTCCATTTTAACATCCGAACGTGCGCCTCTCAGTCTCATTATACTTTCTGAGGCGTTGCTGCTGAAGGGCAGCTTGTTCTCGTCAGTCTGAGTAGTCATCTCGCACCGCTTGCTTCTGCCACTGTCATGAGCCACGTCCTCTTGAATCGTTCGAGTCTGTCCGGCAAGTAACGCGGCTGACGCGCTCTCACACGGGCTCGAGGAGCACCCGGTGAAAGCGCCTGACCCATGGCTGACCGAAGGTTTCACGTGCTCTGCGTCACACTGCAATGCGGTGCTAACGTTGGTCTTGGAAGATGTCTGAGTTTCGAAAATGAACTCCATGTAGTCCTTGGCTGCCTGGCGAAGCGCTGCTGCCTCCTCGCCGGAGTTGGCCGTGGGCTCGTCGATCGGCAAGAGGTACTGCCCCGAGCCGGTATACAAAATACGCACGAAAGAAGGTCGCGGGAGCCAGTTCCCCGCCCACGGCCCCAAAATGTTTGATAACCAGCACGCCATCCTTGTCCGGCAGAATGTCGGCGCACATCGACCCGGCATGCTCGATGATGGGTTCGTCGGACAGAAGACATGGGCATCTCGATCCAGATCCACCAAGTAGGTCCATCGTGAAGGCGCCCCTGGGCATTGCTTCCAAGTTGAGAGCGGTCGCACCCAGGCCGAGCGAGGCATTCGGGTTGCCGTCAGTGCCCGAGAGCTTGGAGCCCGAGTTCCCGACACTGATGTCCTGATTCCTCGGCCAAGGGAGATGTTCGCAGATCTCCCGAACGGCATCTGCGCCCACACTCGGAGCCCACAGATCCGAGAGAGATCCTCTCGTAGCTTTCACCGCTGCGCGGTCAGGATGGTCGAAGATGTCGCTCTGGAACGAGGTGTCACCCCGATCGCGAGCTGGCCGCTCAGGTAGCTGAAAGCCGTCAGCTCGACTGCTCGGAGGAGCGAAGCCTGGGCGACCACTGTTGCTCGCTGCGTTCGCATGCTGAAAAAAAAGCCGCTGAGACTGGTCTTGGCCGGCAAGGGTCGTTCGTCGGGATCACGCCACGTGCCTGGCGGGCGCGGCGTCGACGCAACGCCCCAAGAGTCTGCAGAGGGGCTGTCCTCTGAGATGGCGTCATTGATCCAAGGTGGTGTCCGTCCTGAAGTACATGGCTGCAACCAAGTGGATGATGTCCTGGACATCGAGCAACCCTGCGCGCCTCTGCCCTTGCCTTTGCGAACAGGTCGCTCATCTTCGAGTTCAGATTCCCGCGTCTGAAAATTCTGAGCGATCCACCTCTGATGATCCAAGTCGCGACTCTTGACCGATTGCGAAAATTCACGCCCGCCACGATGTCCAGCTGCAAGAGAAACTCCAGACACATCTTCGGAATGATGTCCACTGTAGTGATGTAGAGCGAAGCCACTATTGGAGGTCTCACCGTCATCGCCTTTCTGCCCTCGCTGCTTTGCTGGACAATCATGATCTCGATGCCACTTGGAGCCGCAGATGCTGCAGCCCTTGCCGTCTCCTTTGTTATTGGCCTTGCCGCCGCCGTAGTTCTTACCACCGTCTTTCGCCTCTGCCGTGTACCGTCCATCATATCGCCCTTTACCGTTTGCGTCCTCGTCCACGTCCTCTACTACCGCGACCTCGATCTTCACCACGAAAACGTCATTTTCCTTTTCCTTTGCGTCTGCCGCCGAATCTCCACTTAGGTCGAAAGCCGCCCATCTGATATGCCTCTTCTAGGTTCAACTCGCCAAGATAGGTTTCAATCTCTAACTGTCATACCATTTCCAATAACTGTCGTACGCGCCGCATGTTCATTCACCAACCTCTGTCATATACTCTCTGTAATGCAGGTCCGTGTCCTCGTCGAATACGAAGTCTATGTAGTCGTCGTGATCGTCCTGATCATGATAGCAGGTCAGGCTGTAGTCATCGTCGTTCAGCTCCAGATCTTCAAACGCTCTGTAATGTCCGTGATGATGACGAGATCCCGTTGCCATCTCCTGTTTAGCTATCCGACTGGCCATGTTGTACATGTCACTGGATATGTTGAAATCGCCGTTCAACTGCAATTTGATGTCTACAATCCTGCGGGCCGGAAGCCCGCCCGATTCAAATAGAAGGTAATTGAGGCCGACTGCGTTGAGCGAGAGACCAGCCTTGCTATCTGCCTCCTGGTACCGCTGCTTGAACTTCAGGAGGTAGTCCTGTTGGCTAGCAGCTCCTCAGTGGGTGTCCCAGAAAGCGTCCAGATACTCACCCTGCCGATCCTGATCACGAATCACGAACGCATCCTTCAGGCGCTGGATCAGGTGGGCCACGCCCAGTGGGTCGGCCTCAATGATCACAGCGCCGACGCCGTCGACCTGCTGGTCCTGCTTGCCTAATGCGAGAGCCGCGTCACCAAGATAGTCCTGTCCATTGCGTACTACCTTCATCTTCATGGCCACATCGAGCGCCTGGTCCAGGAGGCGACTGGCTATCAGTGGGCCAGTTTACTCCTCCAACACTGGGGTAATACGCCACCACACATGTAGACAGACGTTCCAGGAACTGCTTGAAACTGTAGTCGGGCGGGAGGAACATATCTGGTAAACTCGGGCAACGAGGTCGGGAGCTTCCAGTCTGCGCCTCCAGCCGCCGCCTTGGTCACTGTCTCGGAGAAAGGAAAGGGAGCGTCGTGAGCGTCGAAGCCGACGCCGAGAAAGAGAGGCTGGATGAAGATCAGCGTTTGCAAGAAAAGATTCGTGATGCCGAACAAGTTCCGCACAGGCCGGAACTTCAGCGCCTTCTGGTCGTACTTCGCCGAGACGAAGAAGCGCGCCTGGCCGTGCGCGGGCGCCGCTATCGCGCGCCGATGCCTGGATGGATGGGGGCAGGCTGAAGCTGGAGTTTTCCAGCTCCGCTACCAAACTGAAATGTTTGATGTATATGTATGAGTGCACAAACCCTGAGCCCTGATGCATTACGGTCGAGCAGATACCACACATGATCAAACCTCTTGTCTGAACACTGTTGCTACTGGCCACCTAATTTTCTCAGTGGAGGGAGGGGGGAGGGAGCAGGGAGGAAAGTGGTGGTGGCGGTGTACATGTTTGGACCCCGCACGATCGAGATACGACCGCTGCGCCGCTCCCAGCCCAACAACACCGCTGGTGGCTGCTGGCAAGCAGCTGCAGGTCGTGTCGCAGCGCGGCGCGGCCTCACGCGTGCTTGCGCGTGCTCCGATGAGAAGCCCTTCTGGCGCCAGCCGCCCGGCAGTCCCGCCCGCCACTGAGAGCAGCCCCCGACGCCTGCCCCGTGAAGTACGCTCCCGCACGGCCTCTGGAATGCCCTCTCCTGAAAGGTGCCACGGGATGGTGTTGTCTAAGCAGGCCCAGCAGAGCCGGCCCCCTGAGTTCGCTCCACAACACAATGTTGAAAGTTTTTTCCACGCAGCCGCATCGATTGGCGGGTCCGTTCCATATATTGGGATAGACCCTCCTGGACGCAACAGCCCTGTTAAAGCCCACGCCCTCTGAGAGGTCCCCGCTCCGCAGAGATCATACTGACAGGAGGAAGAGTTGTCTCATCCCCCCTTCGCCTAATACCAGTCTACCAGCACCCCAGGGCCGCGCTACTCCTACGCCCTGCCCCCAATTAGTGTAAGGACGGTGACGTCGGGTTCCCACTTCGCCTGCAACATCTCTCCAAACAGCGACAGGGCCTGCTGCCACGCCTCGCCGATCCCACACGCGCTGATCACGGTGCTGTAGCTGATGACGTCTTGCTCCAGAGTCGCCCACCGCATCTCGCTGAATAGCGCCAGAGGCCGCCGCCACTGCTCGCCCTTCTCGCACGCGCTGATCCCAGCGTTGTAGCTGACCAGGGCTGACATGTAGTCGACGGTCCACGAAGTCTGTCCTAAGAGGCATGTGATGTGATGGCGGAAACGCTGTCGAAAGCCGTTTATATTGACGTTGGTCCAGAGACCCGAGCAGCGGGAAGAGAGATACGAGCAAGGTGTGAGCATGGAGGAGGAAGGAAGGAGTAAGTAGCCGTTGCGGGATCAAGGGGTGCTCTTGGGGCCCGCGTCGGGTCGCGTAGGGCTGACAGGGAACTTGCGAGGAAGGAGAAGGAGGGAGCGAGTAGCCAGGAGTGGGGAGGTCCCAAGAGAGAGGAACGAGCAGCGAAAAGATCAAGAAGCAATCAGAAAGAGAGATTGGGAGAGGCAGAGGGAGAGAGAGAGAGAGAGAGTGAGAGAGAGAGAGAGACGAACGGCGGGCCTGGAAGAGCGCGAGGGAGCCGTGGGGAGTCGGGGGGGGGGGGGCGTGGACTGGTGAGGATCGCCTGCCAGCCGGTCTGCCCGCCTGCTGCCCCGCTGCCGTGGTGGCTAGACTGATGAACAGATTAGATATTGGCCGAATCGTCCTCCGCCTCCTCCTCCTCCTCCTCATCCTCCCTCCTCCTCCTCCGCCTCCTCCGCCTCCTCCCTCCTCCTCCTCTTTGGAGAGTTTGGGGCAAGCATCGTCAGCTCGAGTTTCGTGCCTGGGAACGCGCTCACCCGCGTAGATATCTAGCTCATCAAGCTGGCAAAGGTGTTTTGGAAGTTGTTTTCGAACAAGCAATGCAAGCAGAAGGGCAATTCTTGGGAGATAAGAAAGTTTTCTCAGCTGCTGTTCTTTGGGATTTATCCAATTACTATGAATATGTGGATAGGGGACTCTGGAGGGACAGAGCTCAGGATACAAATTTCTCGGATTCCCTGGTAGTCATTATTTGCAACCAGTACCAGGCGCCCAGGACAGTAGCCACGAGATCCTCAGCCCTACCTGCAGGTTGCCCAGAGAGAGGTATAGCTGCAGGCTGCTGGGCCGCCACTTTTGTTGTACAGCAGTACTGCCTGCCGCCCATCGACATCTGGGTGGCTCAGAACCCCAGAGTGCAGCCTACCATTTTCATTGACGATTTCCTGCTTGCCAGCCACAACAGCAAGCCGAACAAACTGATAGCAGATCTAGTCACGGCCTCAGCCAGTATGCATCAGTCGATCGTTGTCGATCTTAAGTGTGATATCGCTAAGCACAAGGCTGCTGTTGTGGCTTCGACGCCGATGATCAAGGCCGATCTTGCGGCCAAGCTCGGCCAGTGGGCTGGCCCCCAGGCTGGTCTGGCCGAGACGGCAGCCACTAACTTAGGAGTCGACTTCACTGCAGGAGCCAGACTAAGGAGCAAGGGAAGGAAAGCTTTAAAAGCAAGAGCCTGCAAGTTGAAGTCGAGACTTCGTCGCCTGCGCGCCCTTCGTGCTGCTGGAGCTGACACTCGTAAGGTTTGGAATACGGGACTCCAGCAAGCTGGTTATTTTGGGACTGAAGTTCTTGGGATGTCTGCGCAGGAGCTCCAGGAGGCTCAATCGCTGTTATTGAAGGTTGCGGGGCCCAAGTGTGCTACGCGTTCTCGGGCCTTGTCGCTCGCTATCCTTGAGGACCCTACCTGGAGATCCGCCCTGGGGCCATGCATGTACTGGAGCATCATAGTCTTCCGAGCCGCCCAAGACCCTAGGAAATCAGAATTCACCCTGCCCGAACTCCGACAAATGGCGGCCAATATCCTGGACAAGCCACCCTCGGGATGGGGAAACATACGAGGTCCTCTTGGGGCGGTGTATTTAAGTCTACCTAGAGTTGGCTGGTCATGGACCAGCCCCATGGAGTTCATGAGTGGGGAGGGCGAGGTCTACCCGCTCACCACCAGTTCGCCAGCGCTCATTCGTCAGATGCTGGAGGCAGCTTGGCACGACAGGCAGGCGGAGCAGGCGGCCATCAAGATAGGAGTGCCAGCAATTGATTTGTCACACGCCAAAGCAGCAGTTGCGGATAAAAGATTATCTAAGCAAGATCGAAGTGTTCTCGTCTCGTACCTGACCCAGTCGATATGGACCAAGTGTAGACTCAAGGAAGCAGGTTACGACATTGACACCACGTGCATATGCGGGGCCCCCCAGGACCACATATTCCACCGCCTTCTGGAGTGCCCCAATTGTGCTCAGCTAAGGGAGGAGTTTCTTGAGGAAGGAGATGTGGAAGCCCTGAAGGACCCAGCAGTTTTTGCCACGTGTGCGGGTTTTCCCGAGCCGCCCCCTTTCAAGGTCCCGCGGCCCGTAGGTTTAGGTTTGAATGAAGCTGTGTTTTGGTCCCGCGATGGCCGTCAACCCGAGGAAGTTTTCGTTGGCGAGGTTTACGTCGACGGCAGCGTGGCCAAAATGGGCCACGCTTGGTTTCACGCCCCAGGCTGGGCTATGGTTAAATGTGACCCCCATGGGGAAATAGAAGCCTACCTGTGTGGGCCAGTAGGCAGCGCGCTTCCACCCACCTCCCCAGCGGCAGAATTCCTAGCGTACCTAGCCAGCAGCCAGTTCAGAGGAGTAACTAAGATCTACTCCGACTTTAAGGGAGTCGTGGCCTTCCACAATTCGGGACTCCCTGCCAGTAGGAAGAATATATATGACGGGATTGGTGCTATGGCCAAGCTTGGAGAAGCCAGCCGCGACGGGGGTTTCGAAGTAGCCAAGGTCAAAGCCCATCAAGATGTAGATTCCCTCGAGCGCTACTCTGAAGAGTGGCGCCACGCCTTGGGAAACGATGCAGCCGACAGAGTCGCCAAATTAGCTGCCTCTCGCCTCCCCCAGCCCTCGGCCAACGAGCGTGAGGCCCAGCAGCTGCTCGACCAGCGAGTTCGAAGGTTCCTTCGGTTTGTGCCGAAGGCCCTAGTGCTGTGGCCACCAATTGCGCCGAGGGTTGGGGGAAAGGCCCTGGAGGGGCCTGTGAAGGCCACCAACCTCGTTGTCGGAGCTGGCTCAATCGCGGAAGTGTGGCAAGGCGGAGCTAACTCTGGGGGCTCCTCGGGCTCTGGAGCTGCGGCGGCTCCTCCCCCTCCCCGCCCCCTTCGGGCCGCCCGTGCTCGCGTCGGGCACGTCTGGGCGTGGCAGAAGAATCGTTGGCTCTGCTGCGTCTGCCACTCGCGTTGCCGCTCAGACAAAGTAAAGGTTTCACGCGATAAGGAAAGGTGCCCAGGCAATGCTGCTAGACTAGCTAAGCTAGGCATGCAGCCCAATGGACACAAGCTTTTTGTTTACGACAGTTTTGTTGACGAGAGTTTTATTGTTGCATGTCACCTGTGCGGCAGTTATTCAGAGTGTACTGTGAAGAGCCTCCAGAAGAGTTGTCTC